GAAGGGAAGAAGGAAAGCCAGGAAAAGACAGTCAGGAAGTTCAGTTATTTTACTTACCAATTATGATCAGTGACAAGAAGTCCGGTCGTGCTTCCTCGAGGCCCCTGATCCCGCATGATCTGCAGGGGCTGTTGAGGGTCCTGCGGCCTCCGAGGGGCGTGTTTGGGAGAGGGTGAGGGATCAGCTGGGGGCCCGGCTGCGAGGGGACGGCTGCGAGCTGTCGGAGATGAGGGGAGAGGGCGAGGAGGTGGGGAGGGAGAGAGGAAAAGGGAAAGGGGGAGAGCGTGGAAGAGAGACAGGGAGAGGAAAAGAAAGAGCTTTGGGGAGAGCGATCAGCTGAGGGGACGGCTGCGAGCTGTCGGAGATGAAGGGAGAGGGCGAGGAGGTAGGGAAGGAGAGAGGAAGAGGGAGGGTGAGAAGGGGGAGGGAGGGATGAAGGGAGGAGGGGAGGGTGAGAAGGGGGAGGGAGGGATGCAGGGAGGGGAGGGTTCAGCCGGAGGATCTGTGAGGGGGAAAAAGAGAGGGAAAATGAAATGGAAAGAGAAAGAAAAGAGAAAGAGAGATGGGGTGGAATAAATATGTGAGAGTGAGAGGTAGCGAGGGGGAGAAGGTGGAGCGAGAGAGAGAGAGAGGGAGAGGGGAGGATATGATATAACCACAGTAATGGCGATAAGAAAAAAAGCGAGGGGAAACGCCCGGGGCCCCCCTCGGACGTGCCCTCTAAATCTCAACCACTCTCTTTAGAAAGGCTCGCCCTCACGAAAATGCTGAACTCCATTGCAGCATTCGAGCCGGGGTGATTGAGGCGTGATCTGTGCGGTGCGTTGGGCTTCGTATAATGCTGTAATGCTATTGCTTACTCCTTTTTTTTTTTTTTTTTTTTTTTTTTTTTTTTTTTTTTTGTCTGTCTGTGTCTCTTTTCTGTCTCTCACTCATTCGCTTCTCTTCTCCTCTCTCTCTCTGTCTGTCTCTCTCTCTCTCTCTCTCTCTCTCTCTCTCTCTCTCTCTCTCTCTCTCCCTCCCTCCCTCCCTCCCTCTCCCTCCCTCCTCCCTCCCTCCCTCCCTCCTCTCCTCCCTCTCTCCCCTCCCCTCTCCTCTCCTCCCCTCCCTCCCTCTCCCTCCCTCCTTCCCTCCTCCTTCCCTCCTCCTCCCTCCCTCTCTCCTCCTTTCCTCTCTCTCTCATACATCTATTCTTCTCCAGGTAACACGAATTTGATTGCAATCTTCTCTCCTTCCCCTCAGGTTGGTGTGATGTTGGCGTTCACTCCCGTTTCGGCTCGCGGAGGGAGAGATCAAGGCAAGCGGTGTGGAGGTTAGGTGTTGGGATCAAGTCATCACGCTTTGGGTGTTGATGATGGTGATGGTGTTGGCGACGAGAAGGTAGGAAGGCGGTTGGTGTTGGTGAGGGAAAAGTAGATAGGTTGGTGTTGGCGAGGGAAAAGTAGATAGGTTGGTGTTGGCGAGGGAAAAGTAGATAGGTTGGTGTTGGCGAGGGAAAAGTAGATAGGTTGGTGTTGGTGACTTGAATGTAGGAAGGCGGATGGTGGTCGTGATGGAAAGAGTAAGGCGGTTGATGTTGGTGACGAAAAGGTAGAAAGGTTGGTGATTGTGGGAACAAGGTGCGTGTGGCCTTTGCGGTTGTGATATGGTGGTGAAAAAAATAAGTTGATTATGTGGAGTTTCCGCGGTTCATTGAAGTCCTGTGTCAGCATATGAATGAGTATGCTTGGGGATTGATATAGAATTGTAGATAGTAGATTATCTCTCTTTGTTTTTGTTTCTCTCTCTCTCTCTCTCTCTCTCTCTCTCTCTCTCTCTCTCTCTCTCTCTCTCTCTCTCTCTCTCTCTCTCTCTCTCTCCCTCCCTCCCTCTCCTCCTCCCCTCTCCTCCCTCTCCTCCCCTCCCCTCCTCCGCTCCCCTCCCCTCCCCTCCCCTCCCCTCCCTCCCTATCTCCGCAAAAGCATCTCGCTTCTTTGTCTTTCTTTTTTGTGATGATGCGTCGGTTGCTTTGTTGGAGAGTAGGAGCCATAAGTGATGTATGGGAAAGGATGTATGCCGTGAACGCTCGCTCCGGCTCACTCTCACTCACTCACTCACTCACTCACCTCTCACTCACTCTCACTCACTCACTCACTCACTCACTCACGCTCACTCACAACTCACTCACTCCTCACTCACATCACTTCACTACACTCCACTCACTCACTCACTCACTCTCACGCTCACTCATCACTCACTCATCACTCACTCACTCACTCACTCGCGTCTCTCGTTTTACTGACACACTAACTTTACATTATTCATTCACTCTCCCATTTACTCATCCACTCACTCGCCCACTCGCTCTCGCAGCTTGATATCTCTAATAGGAATTATTATCATTATTATTATTATTATTATTATTATTCCTTTTTGCTCCATTAAATAGAATTCAGCAAATGATAAATTACGACTTTTTTATGAGATTAATCAAACTGTATTGATTGATTGATTTATATATATCCTGTTGTACATAACCAAAATATTTTGCATACAGATTCTACTTTCGTGTTTTCCAAACGAAAAGATTTTTGCAGATTAAAGGATGAATTAAAGCATTTAGTTTCTTCTGACATTTTATTAAATGAAACTGGCTTTGAAAATATAGATGAATCAATATGAATTTCGTATGACAGTGCTCTAATCCATACATTTTCCCCCCTTTCTGTAATTGCGAAATATATGACCTGCATACAAAAATGCCATAGTGACGTTAAGGAAGAAATAGAACAGTAATATTTGCCAACCTTGAAGCTTCCCGCTGTATTGGATTCAAAATGCAGCCGTTTGTGGTAATCCGTTATACGTTAAATACAGGATTTATCAGCGCTTATCAGGGAGATATTGTGTGGCTTTGCATATTTGATATTAATTAGCCTATATTACACTGATAGAAACGTAAAAAAAAGTCGAGTTTGGTGGAAGGCTAGTCTCAATTTTTTTTATAGATTTTGTTTATTCATTTATTTATTTATTTATTATTATTAGATTGGGCCTTCTTGCTCTCGGCCCTAGAATTCATTGTTCGAATGGCGCGCAATGGCTAGGGAAAAAAGAGTCAGTTTGTTGTCCTTTTCATTTCATATATACGTCAGTGTTATTTTTCTTTTCTTTGTTCTGTGGAATTGGCGTCGTAAGTGTTACGTCACCGTTTCTGATTTTTTTCCCGAGGCTTGAGAATGACGGTCCCCACGCTGAGCGGTCGCAGTCCGGTCAGAAGGGTCGACCCGCCGTTATTTTTCGAAATTCATTCCAGCAATTTATCCACGTGTCCCATTTCCTCGTGTCAGAATCGTGTCCGAGAACCGAGTAAGTCTTGTATTTCGTCGTTTTTTTTTAAGGCAGATGTTGAAGGATCGGAATTATTTTTTATTGCACTTTGACAAAGATTGCTGCTGCGCATCGATCTTTGTTGACAGTGCCCAGCAGTGCCGAGGACGCGCCCGTGCTTTGTCCTGCCTCGGAGTGTCCTTTGTTTGGCTGCAGCATGGAACGTGTCGCTTTTTGTTATGATGTAGAAAATGGTGTTTTTAGGACGTGGCAGGAGATTGATCATTGTGTGTTGGTAGCGCGCACACACGCACGCACACGCAAACGCGCGTACACACATATAAGCCACCGCCCGCGCACACACACACACGCACACGCACGACACACACGCACACGCACACACAACACACACACACACAGTCTCTCTCTCTCTCTCTCTCTCTCTCTCTCTCTCTCTCTCTCTCTCTCTCTCTCTCTCTCTCTCTCTCTCTCTCTCTCTCTCTCTCTCTCTCTCTCTCTCTCTCTCTCTCTCTCTCTCTCTCTCGCTCGCTCGCTTTACAAAAGAAAAAAGTAAATAAGGCATCTCTTGAAGCGCAGCGTTATGGTATAATGCAATAATATGTAAATTGTTGATAAACTTTAATGGGCACGTTATGTTCCACCTTTGTGTGTGTGTGTATGTTTTGTGTGCGTGTGTGTGTGTGTGTGTGTGTGTTGTGTGTGTGTGTTGTGTGTGTGTGTGTGTGTGTGTGTGCGCGCGCACGAGTGCGTGTATGCGTGTATGTGCACATGTTTGTGTGCGTGTGTTTGTGAGTACCTATGTGGCTGTAATCGCGTGTGTTTTCTAATGCACCCAACGCGAGCCGTGATATGAGGTGCGGGATCAGGGAGCGGAGGGTGACAGCGATGAGGGTGAGGGCCGGAGGCTAAGCGAGGCATCAGGGAGCGAGGCATGAGGGTGAGGGCCACAAGCGAGGCATTGAGGCAGGGCCGGAGCAAGCGAGGCATCAGGGAGCGAGGCATGAGGGTGAGGGCCGGGGCAAGCGAGGCATCAGGGAGCGAGGCATGAGGGTGAGGGCCGGGGCAAGCGAGGCATCAGGGAGCGAGGGAGGGTGAGGGCCGGGGCAAGCGACCGCCATACAAGGGTGAGGCAAGCGAGGCATGAGGCATGAGGGTGAGGGCCGGGGCAAGCGAGGCATCAGGGAGCGAGGCAGGGTGAGGGGAAAGCGAGGCATCAGGGAGCGAGGCATGAGGGTGAGGCCGTGAGGCCGGGCATCAGGGAGCGAGGCATGAGGGTGAGGGGGGGCAGGAAGGGAGCGAGGCATGAGGGTGAGGGCCGGGGCAAGCGAGGCATCAGGGAGCGAGGTGAGGGTCGGGCAAGGGCAAGCGAGGAGGGAGTGAGGCATGAGGGTGAGGGCCGGAGCAAAGCGAGGCATGAGGGGAGGCGCGAGGCATCAGGGAGCGAGGCATGAGGGTGAGGGCCGCAAGCGAGGCAGGGAGCGAGGCATGAGGGTGGGGCCGGGGCAAGCGAGGCATCAGGGAGCGAGGCATGAGGGTGAGGGCGGGGCAAGCGAGGCATCAGGAGCGAGGCATGAGGGTGAGGCCGGGGCAAGCGAGGCATGAGCGGCGAGGGCCGGGGCAGCGAGGGCATCAAGAGCGAGGCATGAGGGTGAGGGCCGGGCAAGCGAGCATCAGGGAGCGAGGCATGAGGGTGAAGGGCAAGCGAGGCATGAGGAGGCATGAAGGGCCGGGCAAGCGGGCATCAGGAGCGAGGCATGAGGGTTGAGGGCCGGGGCAAGCGAGGCATCAGGGAGCGAGGCATGAGGGTGAGGGCCGGGCGGAGGGAGCGAGGCATGAGGTGTGAGGAGCGGGGCCGAGGCAGTCAGGGAGCGAGGCATGAGGTGAGGGCCGGGGCAAGCGAGCATCGAGCATGAGGGTGAGCGGGCAGCGAGGCACAGGGAGCGAGCATGAGGGTGAGGGCCGGGGCAAGCGAGGCATGAGGTGAGGGTGCGAGGCATCGAGGGCAAGCGAGGCAAGCAGGGGGAGCGAGGCATGAGGGTGAGGGCCGGGCAAGCGAGCATAGGAGCGAGGCATGAGGGTGAGGGCCGGGGCAAGCGAGCATCAGGGAGCGAGGCATGAGGGTGAGGGCCGCGGGCAAGCGAGGCATGAGCGAGGCATGAGGGTGAGGGCCGGGGCAAGCGAGGCATCAGGGAGCGAGGCATGAGGGTGAGGGCCGGGCAAGCGAAGGGAGCAGGGCGGGAGCGCGAGGCATGATGCATCGGGGAGCGGGCATCAGGAGCGGGCCGGGGCAAGCGAGGCATCAAGCGGCCGGGGCAAGCGAGGCATCAAGGAGCGAGGCATGCATGAGGGTGCCGAGCGGGGCAGGTGGGGCATCCGAGGCATGAGGGTGAGGGCCGGGGCAAGCGAGGCATGAGGCGAGGCCGGAGCAAGCGGCATCAGGGAGCGAGGCATGAGGGTCGAGGCATCAGGAGCGAGGCATGAGGGTGCATGAGGGCTGAGGGCCAGGAGCAAGCGAGGCATCAGGGAGGAGGCTATCAGGAGCGAGCATGAGGGTGAGGCCGGGGCAACGAGGCATCAGGAGCGAGGCATGAGGGTCGGGGCAAGCGAGGCATTAGGAGCGAGGCATGAGGGTGAGCGAGGCAAGCGAGGCAGGGAGCGAGGCGAGGGCCGCAAGCGAGCATCAGGGTGAGCGGGCCGAGGCATGAGGGTGCGCCGGGGCATCAGAGCGAGGCATGGCAGGGAGCGAGGCATGAGGGTGAGGCCGCGGGCATCAGGGAGCGAGGCATTGGGCAAGCGAGGCATCAGGGAGCGAGGCATGAGGGTGAGGGCCGGGGCAAGCGAGGCATCATGAGGGTGAAAGCTTAACTTATCAGGAGCCGTTCTAGGAGTCCTGAGTTCGACCCTCCGTGGCTCTTCCTTTTTTCCTTTCGTCTGATGCGTGGCCCTGGATTTTCCTTCCTTCCTGCTCGGGTTGCGGGGCATCAGTTGCGCACGCCTATTATTAGTTTTTTGTTTATTATTGTTATTATTGTTGTTTGTTGTTATTATTATTATTATTATTGTATTATTATTATTATTATTGTATTATTGTTATTGTTTATTATTATTATTATTATTATTATTATTATTATTATTATTATTATTATTATTATTATTATTATTATTTATTTGTTATTGTTATTGTTATTATTTTTGTTGCTAGTGTTACTGTTATTATAATAATAATAATAATAATAATAATATTATTAATTATTATTATTATTATTATTACTATGTATTTATTTATCTATTCCATATATGTAAATGTATTTTTGTGTGTGTGTGCTAAAGTAGAGTCAAAGACTTGAGGAGCAAATGATTGAGTTGACGAAGAGATGATTAAATTGGCAAAGTTGCGTAGCGAAGTTAGGTTCCTTTCTCGACCCCAACCTTCTAACTTCTTCGTCCTCGCCATTCGCCTTTAAACTTTCTTAATGACGTCATCTACCTGCTCCAGCCCCTCCACCCCCTCCCACCCCCCCTGTCATCGTCAGAACAGCGACTTGTCCTTTTTAATTACTTTTCTCTGTAATTTAATTTCTCCTTGTTGTAGAGGTAGGGGGCGTGGCCGGGGAACAACATGGGCGGGTTGGCCAAGTTATTCCAGACGTTCATTTATTCATCCATTCATACTTGCATCATTCATTCACGATTCATTGAGTTACCCACCAGTTCGTCCATGGACATGTTTATTCATCCTCTCGCTCTCATTCTGACTTCGCATGCCACTGTTTTTACTTTCTCTGTTTCCTTTGCGTTCTTTATCGGCGCCGAGATAAGTTATTGTGAGGATGTTTGCTGTGGAAACGAGACTTCTCATTGGAATGGAGTCGCTCCGAGCAGAGGGGGCCCTGTGTGGTGCCTGGTGAGGGGGGGTTCCTGGTGAGGGGGGGGTCTTGATGAGACGGGAAGGCGGTGTTGGCTCATATAATTAATGGGAATAGTGGGCGAAGAGAGAGGGCGAAGGGTGCAGTAGAGACCGTGATGGAGGGGAGACTGATAGATACGCCGACGAGAGGAGGAAGGGGGAATAAGGGACGAAGGCGAACGGCAAAGTGAGGAGGGAGGAATGAGGAACGAAGGGCAAACGGCAAAGTGAGGAGGGATGAGGGGGACACACGGACAGGAGGATATTACGAGGTCAAACAAGGAAAGGGACACAGACCTCCAAGGCCTCGTGCAGACCAGGACACAGTGTCGGGCAACACACGAGCGACTGTGAGGCGATTTCTCTGGCCCGCGAGCACACGGCATTGGATTCCGCAAAATCGACTTTATTGCTGGACTCTGGTGCACCTGTCGAACGACTGTTTGGAGTAGCGCTTCTCTTTCTTTTGAGCAGTAAACGGTTGTGAATTTAGATTAGACATTCGAGGAATTGTTTTTTTTAGTCTGTTATTGGGTGCCGATAACTCTCTCTATCTCCTATAAAGCCAGAACACGAATTAGAGGAAGAAGAAAGGGTTAACGGTAAAGGTAATGATCCCCCCCCTCTGTCTGTCTCTCTCTCTCTCTCTCTCTCTCTCTCTCTCTCTCTCTCTCTCTCTCTCTCTCTCTCTCTCTCTCTCTCTCTCTCTCTCTCTTCTCTCTCTCTCTCTCTTCTCTCTCTCTCTCTCTCTCTCTTCCTTATATCTTTCGCTTATTTTTGTTATTGTTTCCATGACTATGATAACTTGTGGCCATCTTTATCATTCCAGTTATTGTTATTGTTATATTTATGGTTATCATTTCTACTATTACTACTATATTATCAGTATTATTGTGTTTGGAGTCATCTTATCCCGCATTGCTTATAATTTTGCTTTGGTCTTTGGTGAATATGCAAATTACAGACGACTCCATAGGTGCGCTGGCGATGCTTCCGCCCGCCCACGTGGCAAGGACATTAATGGGCGGCCGCGTGGCAGGTGTTCGTGCGTTCGTGTTCGAGGGGTGGGGAATTTTTTCGTGTTTATTTTGTGTTTATCTGTATCTGGAAATCGGACAGGCATGACGTTGAACTAAATAAATATTTATATGTGTGTGGCTGGTTAATTGATATATACGTTTGCATGCGCGTGTTTACCTGCGTTCGTGTGGTGCGTATCTGTCTTCTGTCCACGTTTGTTCGTGCGCGTTTTCATGGCTGCCCAACGCGTCTGGCGTGAGTCAGGGCCTCTCGCCATAATAGGGAGCGGGCGCCGTTACGTAAGGCTCCCGACCGGCGCGGCTCTGTCCTGCTCTCGTGCCACGCTGGACGCCGAGGGCAGCGCCGGGTGGCAACGCCGACGTGACCGGTGTTTAGGGGCCCGTCTCGTCAGGATGTTTGTTTGGTTATCGGCGTGTCATGTCATGCTCGGTCATTAACAGCTTTACAACGTATTTCACTGCAGTGTTTAGCATTAGGGTACACAGGCATCCCCGTTTCATTATTTGGAAAATAAATGATGCGCGCGCATCTTTTATTCCTCTCCACTCCCACCGTAAACGGACTAACGCTCAGTCGAGAGAGAGAGAGAGAGAGAGAGAGAGAGAGAGAGAGAGAGAGAGATGGAGAGAGAGAGAGAGAGAGAGAGAGAGAGAAGAGAGGAGAGAGAGAGAGAGAGAGAGAGAGAGAGAGAGAGAGAGAGAGAGAGAGAGAGACAGAGACAGAGGGGATGCAAAGAAAAGTAACATGCAAGGATTCATATCTAAATCTCCCCCAAAAAAAAATTGTAGTCGTCGCACCTGGATAATGGAATTTAACACCGACAAATGCCGCGCAGTCAGGTACTCTCGTAAGGAAGAAAATGGACCCGCAACCCAGTACAAGGTAGAAGAGTAGTGCCAAGAACCAAGAAAAGAAAAGGACCTCGGAATAACTACAAACAGGGACGCCCAAACCCTGAGGACCACATGAATGACCCACAACAGCAAAATTCTATCACAGATCGCCAACACAGGGCGGGCGGCGGTCGTGCGCGGAGACGATCTCACAGAAACTCACAGAAAATCACAGATATGCTCAAGAAAACCATCATCCCTATCACAATAAAACAAATAATCACAACTGCCCTAGAACAATCCTGACAGCTATCACGATAAAGATCACCACAGCCATCACACGAGCATAGGCATACTCTGGAGTAGGCCTACACTGCAGGGGTGTAGAGATCCTCGTTACCAAAGGGGCGTGGTAAACTGGGTCAAGTTCGGGCTTTAAAAGGACACAAAATAGAAAGGAAGTTTAAGGAGATGAAATGACTTGTGGGAAGAAGGAAATGGGGGAGACATGATTATGTAAGATGTAGCTACCTCCCTCCTAAAGAAAAAGGTTATACAGGGAAGTTTTCGTTCGTTATCTTCAATAAAAGAGAAACAAGATGTAGTGAAACGTTCAGAATGGAAGGCGGGGTTTGATTCATGGAACTAACACCCAGAGAACGTTTGCGCCAGAAACATGCATCAGTTCAGAGTTATATGATAGTCCAGATGAAGCAGGCCAGGTTCCCCCGAGCTAAGCTCTTTCTACCGCATTTGAATAACTAGGAAAGGAAATACACACACGCTTACTTACACTCTCTCTCTCTCTCTCTCTCTCTCTCTCTCTCTCTCTCTCTCTCTCTCTCTCTCCTCTCTCTCTCTCCTCTTCTCCTTCTCTCTCTCTCTCTCTCTCTCTCTCCTCTTTCTCTCCCTCATTCCCCTTCCCTCATTCCCACCCTCCTCTCTCTCCTCTCTCTCCTCTCTCTCTCTCTCTCTCTCCTCTCTCTCTCCCTCTCCCTCTCCTCTCCTCTCTCTCTCTCTCTCTCTCTCTCTCTCTCTCTCCCTCCCTCCTCCCTCCCTCCCTCCCTCCCTCTCTCCCCTCTCCCTCTCCTCTCCCTCTCCCCTCCCCTCTCTCTCTCCCTCTCTCTCTCTCCTCCCCCCTCTTCTCTCTCTCTCTCCCTCTCTCTCTCTCCCTCTCCCCTCTCTCCCTCCCCCGCCCTCCTCTCTCTCTCTCTTCTCTCTTCTCTCTCTCTCTCTCTCTCTCTCTCTCTCTCTCTCTCTCTCGTCTCTCTCTCTCTCTCTCTCTCTCTCTCTCTCTCTCTCTCTCTCTCTCTCTCTCTCTCTCTCTCTCCTCTCTCCTCTCCTCCCCTCTCTCTCTCCCTCTCTCTCTCCTGTCTCTCCTCGTCTCTCTCTCTCTCACTCTCTCTCTCTCTCCTCTCTCTCTCTCTCTCTCTCTCTCTCTCTCTCTCTCTCTCTCCTCTCTCTCTCTCTCTCTCCT